GATCAGTGTGGTAAACAGGCAAGTTGCACAGGAAAACACACAGAGAACTTTTCTTAAAATCTATAACTATTCCAAAATACATAAAAAAAAGTATCTTCACAGTGTGGGTAAAATAGATATTATAGAAATGGAAAAGCAAAGGGACTCCACGAGTCAATAGAATATACCAAAAATATGACTGAGGGTGTTATAGAATCAGTACCTAGAGTATACATAAGGGGTGACCCAAAGAAAACAGGATTTTATTTACTGAAAAAATTGTTGACTGAGCTCGGTGACTCAGCTTGTAATCCCAGTACTTTGGGAGGATGAGGCGAGTTGATTCCCGGAGTCCGCAGGTTCAAGACCCACTGAGGCAAGTCTCTGAGAACCTACATTAAATCAAAAATTAGCTGGGCGCTGAAGCACATGCCTATAGTTCTGGCTACATAGAAGAATGAAGCAGAAGGGTAGCCAGAGCCCAACAGACCGAGGCTACAGTGGCCAAGAGTGTGCCACTGCACTCCAGTCTGGGCAACTGTGTGAGATTCATTTTCAAAAAAAAAGAAAAAGAAAATGTTTTTTTATTTATTCTTACATGTATAACTTCAGTCTCCTTTGGAATACTCTCTATTTGATACAATACAATTTCTGAGATTTTTCCATTGTTCAAAACAATTTTTGTAGTAGTCAATTTTGATGCCTTTAGTCAGTTTTGACTGAACTTCTCTGATGCAGGAAGGTAACAGCACCGGGTTATTTTTACAGCCCTGATAACACATTATTTGTCTTCATTGAATTACTATGAAATTTACTATGGATCTGAGAGGACTGTGCTTGCTTAATCAGTCGCTCTAACCATATCCTGGTCATGTTTTCTGCAGTTGACAACTAAAATTCCCAGCAATATAACCCAGTATAAATCACAAGCTTCTGATTTGTTTTTGTTTTTGTTTTTTTAATTTTAATTTTTTATTTTAAAGATGTGGGGAACAATTCAGGTTAGGTATTCAAATGATCATTACGCAGGTACCCTTGTTGATGAGGTATGCCCCTCCTTCCTCTGGCAGTTTCCCACTACTGCCAATCCCTTTCTTACAGTATTATGATAATTGTTCAAGGTCCCCTTATGAGTGAGAATATATGGTACTGTGTTCATTGTTTCTGTGACACTTCACTGATTCTAAATCCATCCAAGTTACAGGAATGTTCATATGTTTGTTCTTCTTTATGGTTGCATAATATTCCACTGAGTATGCGTACCACATTTTTTATCCAGTCCAGCTTGGATGGGCAGTATGGTTGGTTCCATGTATTTGCTAATGCGATAAGAGCTGCAACAAACATGCATGTATAGGTATCTTTATGGTAGAATGATTTGAGTTCCTCCTAGGATATTCCCAATAGGAGAATTACTTGGTCATATGGACAGCCAATTTCTAGTTCTTTCTGAAACCACCACACTGTCTTCCAAAGAGGTTGTACTAGTTTGCATTCCCACCAGCAGTTCAGAAGTGCTCCTGGAGGAAATGCAAACTAGATAAAAGGAACACCTTTGATTCTTATAGAACTATTGTTTCATTACAATACTGTGAGATAAGGAATGATAACACTGTATGGCAGCTGTGAAAATTGTTAAAATCATCAGAATGTTGGAGCTCAGAATGGTCAGCATGGAAGTGTGTCTGTATTGGTGTGTTGTCTAGACATGTACATCTCTGTACTTCTTTTAGTGGTAAGGAGGAAAATCTGAACTGGGGGTTAGATATGGAAGCATGAGGAATTATGGAAATGCAAATACTAGCTTTCCTAATAATGAAGAAGAAATAGCATATTTGAAAGGTATGCTAGCAAAATAATTATGAAATGATAAAACAGATTGAATGAATCTTCATCATGGGTGTCTCTTAGTGCTATCACACCCACAGATTTTATAAGGAAGATGCAAATGATGAGGCTTGTTTCAAAGAGCCAATTAGGGACAAAGGGAGGCCACGGTGATGCACAAGGTAAGGAGAAAGACCAACCCTTGAAGAGGAAATTGCCTGAGTTGAACTTCTGAACCACATCACTGTAGATCTGATAAGCAATTTATGAAAAAAAAATTCAACATGTTTCTTATGAAATATCTAGTTCATGTTTGAACATGAAGCAGAATTGCCCACAGCTTTAAAAAATCATCTCCTAACTACATAAAAGCAAACAAACAAGCAACCCTGTATAAGTAGGATTCAAGAAGTGAGCAGGTCAGTCCTATGCAATACCAGAAAAATAAAGGCTTACAACTTTATTATAAAACGTGATGCTATGAACAATCTACAGAAAATCATGTATATGAAATTTTGTCATGAACAAAATAAGATAAAAGTTAAACCTAATTAAATTTCAAAAATTTTTCTGCTAAATTGACTGTCAACAAAATGAAGAACAAGCTTCAGTGCAAATACATACTGAAAAAAATTAAACCAACAAAAATCTTGCATATGTAAGAGTCTTCAAAAGAAAACAGTAAAAAATAAGAAATAATTTATAAAACTGGAAACAATTGGTGTACACAGTCCCTCGAAGATATACAAGTGACACAAGAAGAATGTCAACATCATTTATTGTTAGAATTGATATGGTGATGACATGTGACATCACTACACATTTTTTACCCTGTTTTTATTATAAACATGTGGAGTGCCTGTAATCCCGCGCCTTTGGGAGGCTGAGGTTAGTGGATTGCCTGAGCCCGAAGGTTCGAGACCCGCCTGGGCAGCAAGACCTCATCTCTACAATGAATCAAAAAATCAACCGGGCGTGGTAGTGCATGCCTGTAATTCCGGCTACTTGGAATGCTGAGGCAGAAGGATCACTGGAGCCCAGCATGTCGAGGCTGCGGTGGCTGGGAGCGGCCACTGCACTCCAGTCTGGGCGACAGAGTGAGACTCCAACTCAAAAAAAAAAAAATGATGTGGAGTACAAGTTAGGATTAAGTACACAAATAATATATGGGCAGGTAGAGCTTGAGCCTCCTTCTTGTCCCTGGTATAGGATAAGGTTACCTTTGTGTTATAACATGACCCTCTTTGTCCCTTGGCAGTCTACCGTAGATTCACTTTTATAGATGGCTTAATTAATAACAAATATTGATAGCACCAGTGTTTGTGAACATGGTAGGCCCTACAGCCTAAAATATATCTCGTGTAATGCAAAATGAGACATCCTCTCAGGAATGCAATGAACAATTTCTCTTAAAGTTAAGCATGTCCTTAACACATGACCCCGAAATCTACTCTTGAGTACTTGCTGCAAATGAATAAAATGACATTTTTACACATTTTTTGTCAAACATTTATAAAATTTATAGATGTTAGAAACTAGAGTCTGGGTGTGGTGATTCAAGCTTGTAATCCCAGCACTTTGAGAGGCCAAGGTGGGTGGTTTGCTGCAACCCATGATTTTGAGATTAACCGGCACAATGTGGCAAGATTTCATCTCTACAATCAAGAAAAAAATTTGCAGGGCATGGTAGTGTGCACCAGTAGTTTGAGTGATTTGAAATAATGAGGTGGAAGGTTCACCTAAGTCCAGCTGGTCGACACTGGGTTGACATGAGTGTGTCACTGCACTCTAGCCTTGGCAACAGAGTGAGTCTCAAACTCAAGAAGAAAAAAAAAACTAGAAACACTACAAAAGCTTTTCAAATTTGAAAGGATCCATGACCTAGAAAAACTTAATATTGTTAAGTAATGACAATGAACAACGATTGATGTACACATTACAGTTGGATTTACAGACATGACGCTGAGTGAGAAATGCCAGGCTCCGAACATTAGAATAACTTCCAGATTTCTCCCTCCTCAATTCTCCCTCTAGCTAGAGGGTCTGCAGATAAGTATCTACCACCAATGTATTTATTTAAAATTTACATTTGATGAATATTGATACATGTGTCATCCTTGATTTTCTCCTCCACAGGCACATGATATTTTGATAGTTGCGTAGAATGAATAAAGAACAAGTAGGGATGTTTTGGGTTCCCCTTTTTCTTTGTGATATTTAGAATTTTTACCAATTATAGAATTTTTCATTTATTTGTGCTGCAAATATTTCAGATATCACTTCTAGCTGTATTGAAATACACAATTTATCATTGTGAACAATAGTCACTCAAAATTCCATTAATAATGACAACATCAGAAATTAATTATTCTTTCTAAATATATGCCTGTGAACACTAATTTGTGGAGATGGCTGTGCAGGACTACGCATGTGTCAATATTCATCAAATGTAAATTTTAAATAAAACTTATTACATGACAACTAAACTCAGTAAGTTTGTTACATGTGAAAATTACCAGCAGATTAACAAAGAGCAGTTAAAAATAAATAAGTATATCTAAAATGAAAGACACTGCTTAAAATACACTTACATGAGTTCTAAACTTCTCCACATTTTAAAGAAAATTGGAGAATGTTGTAAAAGCAAAAACTATTCTCAGTATAGAAAACTAGTTCAGTCATCCAAACCATTAATTCCAGGATCTCCTGGACTATGTTGAGGAAATTCGTTATATCCAGGAATGAGAAGCACAGGCTCAGACAGTGGACTGACATCATAATATGCTCCCGGCCACATAACATAACACCTCCAAGCTCTGTGTTTTCCAGTGTTACACTGGAAAATTAAGGTAACGTTGAAAAACAACATACATCTAAAGTGTACAAATGTAAAAATAAAATAATAGGTATCAGTTTTGTAACCAAGAAATTACATACTAAGAAATAACATATTTAAAAATATATTCATTGACAATGAACTCCTCCAGATTCCTCTCATTTGCACGGAAGGATTGCCTTTCTGAGCCATCCCACCCAGAGCTTGTTATACAGCGGGAGACATGCAAATAAGACCCTCCCTCTGAGTAATGAAAACCAGCCCAGTCCCGACTCTCCAGCTGTGGGAGAGGAGCCCAAGCCCTAGGATTCCCAGGTGTTCCCACTCAGAGACAAGGACTGAACACAGACCACTCACCATGGAGTTTATTCTCAGTTGGGTTTTCCTTGTGGCTGTTTTAAAAGGTAATTCATGGAAAACTGTGTATATTGATTTTGTGAGTGGAAATGAATGAGGGAAACAAAAGACTTATGTGACAGTTTCTAATTAAGACATCTCTATGTTTACAGGGGTCCATTGTGATGTGCAGCTGGTGGAGTCTGGGGGAGGCTTGGTCCAGCCTGGGGGATCCCTAAAACTCACCTGTGTAGGCTCTGGATTCACATTCAGTAGTTATCACATGGACTGGATCCGCCAGGCTCCAGAGAAGGGGCTTGAGTGGGTCTCATACATTAGCTATGATGCTGGATACACAAACTATGCAGACTCCATGAAGGGCCGATCCACCATCTCCAGAGACAATGTCAAGAACCTGATGAATCTGCTAATTAATAGCTTGAAAGCTGAGGACACAGGCATATACTACTGTGTGAGACACACAGTAAGGAGATGTCAGAGTGAGCCTAGACACAAACTTCCCTGCATGGCCTTTGGGCTGAAATCAACTGCAGGTGTTAGGCAGGATTCACTGTTCAGAATCAAGCCCAGAGGCAGCTGCAAATGGAGGTTAAGGGCTGGTTTCCTGTCAGGGTTTGTGATTTCCTCCCCAACTGAGAGTTTCCCCAGGGAACCTCTCTAATTTTAGATATCTGTTCTTGTCAAAGTGATCTTTATATAGAAAAGGGGTCATTGTAATAGGAGGATATATAGTCTCTCACAGACACGAATTTCAGATTTCCACTCAGAGAGAATGTTACACATTAACCACTGACTCCATGGTGAGGGTCCTGAGGAAGCCCAGGGAGAACAGAGAGTTTGATCGATTCCAAATCCATCAAATTACTGCGATGTCCATATGTTTGTCTTACATTATGGCTGTATAATATTCCATTGTGTAAATGTATCACAATTTTTTATCCTGTCCAGCTTTTATGGGCAACATGGCTGGTTCCATGTTTTTGCAATTGTGAATAGAGCTGCAACAAACATACGTATGCAGGTATCTTTTTTTGTAGAATGATTTGTGTTCCTCTGGGTATATTCCCAATAGGGGATTGCTGGGTCATATGGAAGGTCAATTTCTCGTTCTTTCCTAAATCACCACCCTGTTTTCCAGAGAGGTTGCACTAGTTCGCATTCCCACCAGCAGTGTAGATGGGTTCCCTTTGTGCCACATCTGTGCCAGCATCTCTTGTTGTTTGCTTTTCTTAATGATGGCCACTCTTACTGAGGTTAGGTGGTATCTCACTGTAGTTTTGATGTGCATTTCTCTGATGACTAATGAGACTGAGCACTTCTTCATGTATCTGTTGGCTGCCCATATATCTTCTTTTGAGAAATGTCTACTCATGTGTTTTGCTCATTTTTTAACGGGGTTGTTTTATTTATTTATTTATTTTTTTCCATTCAGCAAGTTTGAATTCCCTGTAGATCCTAGATGTTAGGTCTTTTTCAGATATATAGTTGACAAATATTTTTTTTTTTCGCATGCTGTGGGCTGTATCCCTGCTCTCTTGGTAGTTTCTTTTGCTTCCAGAAGCTGGTTAGCTTAATGTGGTCCAACTGTCTTATTTCTTAAGGTATTGACCTTTAGGGTTCTGAATAAGAATTTGTTGCCAATTCCAATTTCCATAAGTGTGTCTACTGTGTTTTCTAAAATTCTTATAGTTTGTGGTTTTATGTTCAGGTCTTTTATCCATTTAGAGTTAATTTTTATGTATGGTGAGAAGTTGGGTGCCTCTTTTAATCTTCAGCATTTGGTGAGCCAGTTTTCCCCGCACCATTTACTGAATAGATTCTCCTATCCCCAGTGATTCTTGTTGGAACCTTTGTCAAAGATAAGTTGGTGGAAGAATTGAGGCTTTGCTTCCAGAATGTCTATCCTGTTCCATTGGTTTTTGTGCCTATTGTTGTAGCAATAGCAGGTTGTTTTAATTACTGAAGTCTTATACTAAAGTTTGAAGTCTGGAAGTGTAATACTGCCCCATTTGTTTCTATTGCTAAGGATCTTTTTGGCTATTCGTGGTCATTTAAGTTCCCATATGAATTTCCAGGCCTGAGAAGAAAGATGTTGGTAACTTTATGAGTATTTCATTGAGTCTGTAGATTGCCTTTGGTAGGATGTTCATTTTAACATGTTGATTCTTCTTATCCAGGAGCATGGGATATTTTTGTGTCTTCTCTGATTTCTTTGTGTAGAGTTTTGTAGTTCTCATAGTAAAGGTTTTCACTTCTCAGGTTAGGAAGACTCCGATGTATTTAATTTATTATTTGGATATTTTGAATGGGATTTTGCTTTTAATTTGGGTTTCTCCCTGCTTGTTGTTGCGTATAGGAATGCAACTAACTTTTGCATGATTATTTTTTAACCTGAAACTTTGCAAAAGTCCTTTATCAGTGCAAGCATGTTTTTGACAGAGTCACTTGGACTTTCCATGTATAAGATCATATATATTATTAGCAAAGAGGGATAACTTGACTTCCTCTTTTCCTATTTGGATTCCCCTGATTACCTTATCTTGTCTAGTTGTCCAAGTCTGGACTGCTGACACAATATTGAACAAGAGGGGTGAGAGTGGGCAACCTTGTCTTCTTCTAGTTTTCAGGGGAGAAATGTTTCCAGTTTCTGTCCATTTAGCAATATGTTAGCTGTGGGTTTATCGTAGATGGCACTTACTATTTTGAGGCATGTTCCTTTTATAGCTAAGTCTTTGAGGGTTTTTATCAAGAAGGGATGATTTATTTTATCAAAATCTTTCTCTGAGGTTAATCTAGATAATCATGTGGTTCTCATTTTTACATCTGTTGATGTATTTAATCACATTTATGGTCTTGCAAGTTGGACCAGCCCAGCATACTGGGGATGAATCTTACTTTGCCATGGTGTATGCTTTTTGACATGTGTTTTTGGATCCAATTTCCTCGAATATTGTTGAGGACATTGGCATCTATGTTCTTAAGGTGTATTGACATGTAGTTCTTTTCTGGGTGGGTGGCGATCCCTACCAGGTTTGGGTATCAGTGTGATATTAACTTCGTAAAATGATTAGGGGAAATCCAATAGAATAAGTATCAACTCCTTCTTATACGTTTGTAGAATGCTGCTGGAAATTCATCCTGTCTTATCTTTTTTTTTTTTTTTGAAGTAGATTTCTTATAACAAGAGTCAATTTCCTGGGTTGATATTGGTCTATTGAGTGTCTCAATGTCTTCTTGTTTCTACCTGGGGAGATTTTGTGATGTCAGAAAGTCCTCCATTTCATTTAGGTTATCAAATTTGTTTCCATAAAGGTGTACACAGTAATCTCTGATAATCTTTTGCATTTCTTAAGCATCAGTTTTGATTTGATCTTTTGCATTTCTGATTGTGTTTATTTGGGCATTCTCTCTCTTTTCTTGTCCATTTTGGCTATGGGTTCATCAATGATGTTAATTCTTTCAAAGAACCAGTTTTTTGTTTTGTTGATGATTTACATGGTTTTTTTTCTTCTATGCCCCGTATTTGGATACTTATTTTGGTGATTTGAATCCCTCAGCTAAAGTTGGGGTTTTGGTGGTCTTCTATTTCCAGCTGCTGTAGGTGATGTTTTCGACTTTCTGTTTTCTTTTTGTGAGCTCCTAGAGATATAAATTCCCCTCTTAGAACTGACTTCATGGCATCCCCGAAGTATTGGTAAGATGTTTCTTCACATTCATTTGTTTCCAGAAAGCTTTTATTTTATGCTTTGATTTCAGAGTTGACCCAGTAGTTGTTCAGCATCATCCTGTTTAGTGTCTATGTCCTTGTGGATTTTGGGGAAATGTTGTTGGTGTCAATATATTTTTTTATTCCCCTGTGGTCTGAGAATGTGCATAGCAAGATTCCAGTCCATAGAATTTGTTTATGCTTGATCTATGACCAAGAATGTGATTGATTTTAGAGTATGTTTAATGTGGTGGTGAGTAGAATGTGCATTCTCTAGTTGGATGGAATAATCTGTAGGTATCTATTAAGTGCATTTAGTCGAGAGTCAAGCTTAGGTTCTGGATATCCTTGTTGTTTTGTGTCTCAATGATCTATCTAGGGCTGTAAGTGGGGTATTCAAGTACAATGCTATAATAGTGTTGGGAAACTATGGGTGGAAGTGGGGAAGGGAGGTGGGATTAACAGTAGTCAATATCTGTCTGGGGATGGGGGCACACCTCATCAAGAAGGGTATCTGCACAATGCATATTTGTATACCTAACTCTTAACTGTACCCCACAATTTTAAAATATAAAAGAATTAAACATAGAATCAGTGTATTTTTTTTAGTTTATTTAATAGTTGCTTTATAAATGCTGGTGCTCCTGTGTTGGGTGCATATATGTTTAGAATGGCTATTGCTTGTTGTTGGGTTGAACTTTTTATTAATATGTTGTGTCCTTTTGCATGTTTTTTAACTGTTGATAGCTTAAAGGTTATTTTTTCTGATATTAAGATTGCAACTCCTACCTTCTTTGAAATCTATTTGCCTGGAAATTTTTTTTTTTTTTTTTAGTTGGAGTCTCACTTTGTCACCCAGACTGGAGTGCAGTGACTGCTCCCGGCCACCGCAGCCTCGACCTGCTGAATTCCAGCGATCCTTCCGCCTCAGCCTTCCAAGTAGCGGGAACTACAGGTGCATGCTACCATGCCCAGCTAATTTTTGATTTTTTGTAGAGGTGACGTCTCACCAAGTTGTCCAAGTGGGTCTCAAACTTGCGGGCTCAGGCAATCCACTCACCTGGAAATTTGTATCTCATCCTTTAACTTTTCACTGTGTACATCCCTTGTGATCTGATGAATCTCCTGGATGCAGCAGTTAATTAGATCATGGTTTCTTATCCAGTTTACCATTCTGTGTCTTTTCTGTGGTGCATTTAGTCCATTCACATTCAGACTGATTATTGAAATGTGATTGTTTCTCCCTGTCATGAGGTTTTTATAAAGTTTTTTTCTTTTTTGGCTTTGAGGTTAATATATGTGTCTGAGTCGTGGCCTTGCTTTGTGGGTCTGGAGTTCAGAGGACTGTTGGAGAGGAAGGGGTTTGGGCCAGCCCCAGACTCACCACTGATCTCTTTGGAGTTCTTCCTCATTCTTTTATGGCCACACCTTTTATCCTGCAGCTGGATCAGGGTAAGGGTGGTTTACCTGGAACTCAGCACTTGTTATGTCCCTCTGAAGTTTGTACTCCCAGGATATTCCCTCTGGGGCATGTTCAATCCCTGAGTTGTTGATCCACCAGTCATAGAGATTGGGTCTGTTGCTCTATGGTGAGCAAGTTGGAGCAATTTCCTGCCCCAACTTCACGATGGTGGTGGGGTACCTCTCTTGTCCTCTTCCTGGGAATTGGCTTCGGTAGTCCCTCTGCAGCCATTGCAAAAGTCCTGTCATGTGCTAAGGCGTGATGCAAAGCCAGGAGCTGGACGTCTGTCTCTGGCTTCAATGGTGAGGGAG